CATGCAGGGTCCCTGGGGCTGCAGCTGCCAGCGGAGCAGCCTCACCCCGGCATCGAACTGTGCCTTGGCTCTGTCTCTGCTGAGCTGGTGGGGTCCCTGGGCATCATGGGGGTTCTTGCTACCAAGCTGCTGTCTTACCCTGGGAATCCCTGCGTCCCTTGCTCTCCTTCCCCTGCTGGGGCCTGGTGTCGGCAGCCAGACATGCAGGGTCCCTGGGGCTGCAGCTGCCAGCGGAGCAGCCTCACCCCGGCATCGAACTGTGCCTTGGCTCTGTCTCTGCTGAGCTGGTGGGGTCCCTGGGCATCATGGGGGTTCTTGCTACCAAGCTGCTGTCTTACCCTGGGAATCCCTGCGTCCCTTGCTCTCCTTCCCCTGCTGGGGCCTGGTGTCGGCAGCCAGAGCGCCCTGGAACATGGGAACACGGGGTGGAGGCGGCAGGGGCTGTGACAATGGTTCCATTGTCTGTACTTCTCAGCCAGTGGAGCGGGCCTGGGAGCGACATGCTGCCTTGGCCCAGTACTTCTCAGCGCTAAGCGTGGCCCTCGGCGTAGTAACCGGTGGGGTCGTACTGGGATCGGGGCCATCTGGCACATTCATCCTTGGCCGGCTAAAGGGTCAGCAGTGACGCACCGACATCTGCAGATGATCCAAAGCTCCTCGAGCACGTTGCGACGTTGCAAAGGGAGCTCACAAAACTGGGTGACTGGGCAGCAAAATGGCAGCGGAAAGTCCAGGCTAAATGCAGAGCGGTGCACGCGGGCAAAGCCAATCCTGACTCTGCCTCTGAAGTGCTGGGGCCTAGGTGAGCGGTTTCCACTTGAGGGTCACTGTGGCTACTGCTTTGGTGGCAGCCAAGAAAAACTGCCAGAATGTTGGGAATCCTGAGGAGTGGGCTAGAGCCGAAGGAAGAAACTGCCCGGAAGCCTTCATCCCCATCCAAGCCAGGCCCACCCCCGACAGCTGGGTGCAGCTCTGGCTTCCCCATTACAAAAAAACGGCCCCCAGACAGCAAAGGCCAAGAAACATCATTGGGGATGGAACAGATGAGCTGGAGCGTTGTGCTGGGTTAGGGTGGGACACTCGACGGAGGGGATAATGGGGGGGGTTGATAAAAGCATGATGGATGTGGCGAGGGGAGTGAGGGAAGGGTTAGGGTGGAACACTCGACGGAGGGGATGATGGGGGGGTTGATAAAAGCATGCTGGATGTGGCGAGGGGGGTGAGGGAAGGGTTAGGGTGGGACACTCGACGGAGGGGATAATGGGGGGGGTTGATAAAAGCATGATGGATGTGGCGAGGGGGGTGAGGGAAGGGTTAGGGTGGGACACTCGACGGAGGGGATAATGGGGGGGGTTGATAAAAGCATGATGGATGTGGCGAGGGGGGTGAGGGAAGGGTTAGGGTGGAACACTCGACGGAGGGGATGATGGGGGGGTTGATAAAAGCATGATGGAT